CGTCTGAATCTCATTCTCACTCTGTCAAGTCGTCTCGCCCTCACCCTGACAACCCCACTGGACTTTGACAAGTACCCCTCCCGGCCTTTCTCCGATGGACCCTCTGTTCCAACAGGTTGTCGGTACCCCGATACATGTAGGGTGCTGCCTATTATGTAGCTCGTCACAAATCACATGTACCTCGAGGTCACGCACACGTTTGACGTTCCCTCCATCACGAGACATAGAACGTGTCATGCATCCTTGCAAGCTCCAGTGGTGAAGTCAACCATCAGGCTAAGCCGCCGACTTGGTCGAGAGTCAAAATAGAACTAGAATAACCTGGCTGTAGCCTCTTCTCTTGCCACGAAGCTCCTCGTTTCACGTGGTAACAGCAATGCAATTGAGTACAATAACTCTTTAAGAATAAAACCTTCATGGTTGCTTCACTTCATTAGTCCTCCAAACAAGACTTAGGTCATTGCAATACACGTGAAAAATTCCCAGAATTGATACGCATTTACACGCTAGAGACTTGGCAGTTGTGGCATGAATGGCTGGCCTGGCATGCGGCAACGCGGCACTCTACATGCGGCACACTACGCACGGCATTTTCTACGACTCGAGATGCATTATCGATCGTGGCACGCCTGTGCGCGACACCAGCACGTAGTACACCTACACCACCCACATCCAGTAGCTACGGTTCATCCCACATCAACTGTTACATCTCTCCGTGTTGATATGTACGAAAATCAGAAATCCCCTAGTGTTTTGCGGCCCTAGTCCAAACTACAAAATCCAAGTACTCCGACTTCGCTGTCAGGGTACTTATACTTCATTATGAGCCATTTGGCTTGCAGAACGTCATTGCCACTATAATGTAATTCCCTTTAGTGGTTATTTCTCTCAATGTTTTCTCACAACTCCTTGGCTACCCTCCTTAAAGACTTCTTCTTCTATTTCAAAACATTAATAGAACTGGCATGAAACTCCTCTCGATCCCCCGGTACGACGCCCAATTTGTTCACAAAAGAATGATTGCTTTATGCCTATCACTAGGCTCAGGTATTCTCAAGAGTTGCAACATTATTTGCTCTCTTGAACCCTCCACATTGACTTAAAGATGTCATAAAACAAAAATCCTAAATTTTACGAGAACAGATAATGATCAACAGAAAATTAGGACTTTAACTCCATCAAAAATCTCATTCTACGCAAGGAAAGAAAAGACAAGAGAAATTTATAAATAACGAAAATTGAATAACCAATAGGAGTCTCAAAACAAAATTCAAACTTGACAAAAGGATATAAACAAGGTTTGCCAAAAGTTAAGAAAAAATAAAGTTCTAACAAAAGAAGGAACAAATAAGCATCTCATGCCTGATATTCAGTCAACTGCTCAGCCATTGCATAGCTCGGCTTCCTGCTGGGCCATCGTGTATACCTGTGCTCGACTTCCTTCGCCAAACCTTGGTTGGGCCTGCTGATGCTGCTGCTGAATCTGTTGCTGAGGTGGCAGCGGGGGAAGTTGTTGATAATGGAGTTGTCGCGGCTAGAATCGCTGCTGATAGGGCTGCTGCCTCTTGGTTTGGGGCACGCACTATAGAAATGCTCGGGGTTCTGACAGTTGTAGCAGACTTTCTGTTGGTAAGGGCCAAAACAGAGGCACAACAGAACGGTAACAACTCGATAAATCATGAATTCTAAAAGATACTTCATCTCTTTAATCCCAAATCCAAAGCAACTCATCAAAACAGCCTCAAATCATCTTATAACTTCAATTTGACACACATAACAAGAGGAACGAATTATTACCAGCATACTCGATTAACCATTACAACACAACAACACATGAACTCATCATAAATCGCATAAACACATAAAAATCAAGCCCTAGCATGCATGTTCTACTACAAACTTCACCACATATCAATAATAACACATGATCTAAAAGGGTTTCGAGCCTTTATACCGTTCTCGAGAATATCACATGAAACGACCGAGAAAGACAGTAGTCACGGGCTGAAACAGGGCTGTCACGCACGCGGGGAGGCTCGGCAGCTTACGCGCGGCTCCCTTGCGGGTTGAATGGTCTGTTGGTTCGCGAGCGGCGACTTGGTACAACAACAAAGGTCTGCTGAGCGATGTCGTGGTGGCAGAGGAACACCGAAAAGTGATCGTCGATGGCCTCACGAGCAGGTAACGGTGGTGATGATGAACTCGTGACGGTACGAGGTGGTGATCGCGAGGGGCAGCAGGGTGCGACGCCGGGAAACGCCAAGCCTAGATGAAACCGAGTCCACCTCGGCTAAGGGTCGTGCCATTTTAATGCATATGGGTCGATATTCTCGTGGATTTAAGGACCAAAAGGGCACAGTATAAGGTCTAGAAAAATATGGTTCAAGCTCGGTTCACAATGGTTCAAAAAAAAAAACAAAACGGGTACAAATTCGGCTTACGCAATTAAACTGAAAAATTCTAATAACAATCGAAAAATAAAATAAACCAAATGGGCATACGAAATTATATTATTCACTTAATAATATAATTTACAACCACATAATTAAGGCATCGAAATAATAAAATAAAATGCCAAAAAAAGGGAAAAATTCGATATTCAAACGGTGCACTACAAAGATTAGGTAAGAGAGGCCTTTCCCCAGCAAACGAACAGTCCCAACCAGCGGTGAACAATTGACACAAGATAGATTCCAGCCCAGGAATCCACTACCGAAACTGCACAAACGCCTATACAGTAAGAGAACCGGAGCCCCGAACCAATCCCCGAATTGACCCGTCTCAAACTGAGAGATCCCCATTCAGCCCCATCAAGCCCCACCAAATTCGTCTAACACCACTAGCTGAACTCAATCGAACCCAGATCCCTACCGCCAAACACCACTCGCCAGTGAGTAAGAGGCTAAATCGGGCCCTCAACCCCGACCACCGCAACATGAAGGCTGCAGTAACCCAGCACCCTGTCCCTCCCAATGACATCTGCTCTGCCCGACACCACCGAGAAATGACAACCCCAAACCGGTTCCCACCCAAAAAGTGGAACCCCGCCGACACAGCAACCCAAGAACCACTGACGAGAGTAGTAGATAGAGCTTACCTCCGCAAAAACAAGAAGACGCCACCACGAACCGAAACTCAGCCGCGACCTCGAGCGCCGCCATCAATCGCGGACCCATTCTTGCGACATCAGAGGCGCACACCGTCAAGAGGAAGGAGGAGCGGTCTTCGACGACCCCTGACCGAGCTTAATTCCCCGCCGAGGAAGGCTGAAAATCTGGAAATTGAAGAAGACGACGATTCGGAATATTGGGGGTAGGGTTTTTCGGGGAGGCGCCGATCGGTGATAACCTTCTAGAGTTTTAATCCTTGACTATTCTTCATGTGCTTTTCTTGAGTTTCAACATTTCCATTTACATGTCTTTTCATTTTAGTTTTTAAAAACTAAAAATAACAACATAAAATAAAAATACAAATTATGATTAAATTATAATTTAAATTTATTTATTTTTTTAAATAAATTTTAAATAAATAATTTGTAGTTATATTTTTATTAGATATATTAAGTAATTATTTAAAATATAAAATATTCAAATATTTATTTGTAAATATTGTTTAATTTATTTATTTTATATTTAACTAGCAATTATATTTCATATTCAATTATAAATTAAATTCACTCATGTATAGTATTATACAATCCTATATACTTATATAAGCTATGTAATGTTATATAAACATTAATTAATTAGTAGAAAAAATACAAATATCTAAATGTATTATAAAATGAGTGCATCAATTAAAAAATATATATTATAACTACAATATATTTTTTTTAAAGATATGAAAATAACACTAAATTTATGATGATTTATTTTGATAATATAGTGATAACATTAGATTTTATTTTTTTTTTTGGTGAGAGGTTTCAGTATACTCAGTATTCTATCCAGCCAACATTCAGTACAGAGCAAATATTAAGCAAATAGACATGAAAGAAAATAAAATAAAAAATAAAAAGTAAAAATAAAAATAAAAATAAAATACAAGAAACACAAAAATATCCACTGAGGATCTAAACTCAAATCCTCATACATGTCGACCTGGTCAGAATGACAAGGCATAGAGTCCAAAATGTCAAGTCTAGTCAGGGGCAGGAGGTGGCGGCCGACGAATCTGAAGGATGGGTACTCTAACTGGTCCATCCGAATGAGCGTCCGAAGCCGGAGGGGAATGTCCTCAGGAAGAAAGGTGCGTCTCTGAGGAATAGATGCTCCCGTGCTAGCAAGGAAATCAGCAGGTCGGTTCCCCTCCCGAAATATGTGTGACACCTGGTACTGGATCGAGCGAAGGGTGCCTCTGATACGCATAAGAGGATGTTGGATCTGCCATGAGCCCTGGTGGCCAGATGTCAAAGGTGTGATGACAGCCGCATGACGTAATATTATTTCATTGAGGTTTGAACTCTGTATGTTATGCTTGGATACAGAACATCCCAAAAGGAAAATCCAAACATATTTAACTCAACCACTTTTTTTAACTCTACCCCACTATCATCAATATTATCAATATAATTAAATAATGTCAATCAATTATTATTACACACCACATCAAACCTTAATTCATTATTCATCAACTCACACAATTTTAACTAACCATCACATCACATATTCTCTCTCATACTTTTACATTAAATTAATTTTAATCATTTTATTTTAAATATTATTTTAATATACCCACTAACAACTAATCATACAACTTTCTTACCAGTTTAACCAACTCAAACAAAAAAATCAAAACAAAACCAAAATTTTTTAAATCGTCAATAAAAAACTTATCATTTCATTTAATCATGCCAATCTTGTCACTTTTATTTGTAATCTTGTATTTGCAATTTTGTACATGGCAATAATTTTATACAAAATATAATATTGTCTCTAATATATATAGAGAACCATGCCATAACCTAGAACACCATCTCTTTCTCTTCTCTCTCTACTATCATGAGTTCCTCTGGTCAATCTGATAGGCCAACAAAAGAACATGACCTTCAAAAGGAAAAAAATGAGAAGGAAATTATTACCTTCCCAAAACAAATCTATGGGCTTTTTGAAGAGGCCAGTGAGTTTTGCAGTGAAACAGGGGCTGAGGTTGGCATCATTGTCCTCTCCGAGGACAACGAGACAGCCTATTCATTTGGCAATCCAGACATCAACACCGTAACAAACAGGTTTCTTGCCCAAGAATCTGATGGTTTGATTCCAAAGGAGAATCAAGCCATGGAGTGTCTTTTTTCGACCGACAATCAGAAAGCACGAAAGAAGAAATTCAATCGTGCAAAGAAAGTTGACAACAAGGAGAAAGATATTCCAAATTTGGGAGAACTCAACTATGAACAACTTGGAGATTTGAAAGGAAAAATCATGGAGCTCTCCAAGAAACTTAAGACCAAAATCATGATTTAAAATATGAGCATTTTTTTTCCTTTTTTTACCCTATAGTATCATGAGCAATTAATAAGGTTGGTGAACTAATGACGTCGCGTTTTACCAGCGGCCAACATTGATTATCGAATGGGCCTTTTTTATTTTTTTATTTTTCTAATTCAAGTTTTAAAGTTTTAAATATGAATGCTCTAACTTTTTCTTTTTCTACAGCATGAATGAATGGTCAAATTTCACTACAAGAAATTTTTGATATTGTATTGTGATATAATCTCAACTTTTATTTATTTTTTATTTAGAGTTTAAATTCTATGATATTCTCAATTGGAGACTTAATTTTATATTTTAGTTCTCAATTTAAGACCCGTCTAATTTTATATTTTCACAGAATTATAATAACAAAATACTACTCTTTTTTATAATTTTTTTTAACATACTTATAATAAAAAATATTATACACTTTTCATAAAGTTACCTTAGCACATTAATTTATATAAGTAACATTTATCCAAAAGTTCAATAAAATTTATTTAAGAAGTTTAAAATCTGGAAACAAATTTTGAAAATATGTAATCTATAATTCAGTTTTGCTATGAAGCCAACAAATTGTTCCATAGTGGAACCAACTTTCTATATACAACAAATAAACCTATTATATTAATAAAATTATATTAGTGTTATTTAAGTAATCAGAGAATATTGTAAGTTTACTTGTTGTATATAGAAAGTTGGTTCCACTAAATTACAAAAATGAGAAACAAACTTTTAAAAAATTTATATTATTTTTTTATGTGCTTAGCTACTGATGGTAGAATGGAAAATATGAAATTTAAGTTATTATTGGAAACATGAATTTAAGATTAAGAAAAAAATAAGTAATCAATATTCAAGCTTAGGAAACAAAAATAAAAAAAAAAAAGAATCAAAATAACATTCTAAGTAGCATATTTAAATTATCAATCAAAGTAATATTCAGATTATATATTTTCAGAATTCAATTTTCAAAATTTCAAACTTTTAAAATAAATTTAATTTTTTTCCGCCTAAATTATGGTATAATTTTGTCACTCAGGTATATTTATTCGTGTATTACAGATGCGTGCTTGTTAAATTTTTTTCTTAAAATTTAAAATTAATAAAAAAAAGTACTTAAAAATTCAAATACCTTATATATATAAATATATATATATATATATATATTATAATTTAGTATGACACTTGTTACTTGTGCGACTTACATGTGTTATATTATAATAATTATTTTAACTTATACCATATAACTACATTAAACATGAATATATTAATTGAGAATTAATTTTATTTTTTAATAAATTTTAATAAATATTTTTATTATTGTAAAGATAAATATAATTTGTTTATTTTATATATACAATACGAATGTCAAATCGAAGTTCATCAAAAAATGATTAATTTGGTAATTATATATGTAAAATCAATAAGAAAACAAAAGTTATAAACTTTTAAAATATATTTCCAATTCAATATTTATAATAGGAAATGATATTAAAATATAATAAATACATCTAAAATGATCATAAATAAATCAATATATTTATGGTAATCCGAACCTAATTAGTTTTGAATTGAAATTAAATTAAAATCCATCCAAGCCAAATAACAAATAATAGAATTTTAACACATAGGATTCCGAAGCATGCGAGGCTGCCACTTAGGCTCAGCACAGTCGGGGATTATATATAGGGGGGATGTATTTAATATTTTCATTATATGTATGTAAAATACAAATTACAAATGCACAATATTTTGATCAACATAATTTCAAAATATAAAGTTAATTGAGGTTTAAAATAAGAATCAAGGGTAAGAACTGAAGAAAAACTCTCAAAACCCTAGCTCTTGAAACGCTCTCCATCGCGCCGACATTCCCATCTCAATCGCGTCGGTAGTTTCTCCCTCGCCGGAGTTCATCGGTGGACGGCCCTCCGTCACCCGTCCATGGCGGTGCTGCCCTCCTCTCATCTGCAGATTGTCTCCCTGCTTCGCGTCTTAGCCAACGGAGAAGGTTCTCCCTCCTTGTTGGTCGTCGGAGTCCGGGTTCGGTCGGAGAAGATTGGGGTGTGGTGTTGGGTCATGGACGGGGTTGGGCTAGCTGCAATCGATTTTGGCTGGGTCGTTGGGACAATGCTTCTCCCTTGTCCGCTTTCCTCGCAACCGATCAGGACCGAGCCTTTCCGCCGGTGAAGCGGCGATTGGCGGTGGACTCCTCCTGTGTCGTCTCTCAGCAGTGTCAATTGGAGGTATGCCCCCGAATTTGCTGCTCTGTCTCGGTTTTCTATTTTGTCAGTGATCGGGGAACCTCTCGATTCCTTTCTGGCGATTTGGATTTGGGGGGTTCATGGTGGGAGTCGTAGTTACTGCTGGAGTCAGATTGCTGGTTCCAGAGAGTGCTCGTTGCTTGGTCATGTTCAGTTGTTTCGGGCCTGGTTGAGCTGTGATTGCTTCTACTCGTGATTGGAGGGCGGGACAACTCTTCGATTAGTCCTGGGGTGCGGGTACCCGTCTTGCTAGGCCTTATGCAGTGGTGGACAGTTCTTTCTGTGCTTTGGAGCTATCAGTGGAGTTGGTTATATGCCGTTTATCTAGATGTATCTGGTGGGGGAGGCTTTGTCCCCTTATGCTTTGTTTTAGTGTGTTGGTTGTTTTGTGTTTATGTTATTTGTGTTTTTAGGATTGTGTTTTTGGTCTGGGCTGTTAGCTCCTGTGAACCTGAGTGTCAAACTTATTATCCTATTGGGATCAGACACTCAGGTATTACCCTGTTGGGGTCTTTTTAGTTTTTTTGTTGTTTTAGTTGGTTAGTTGGTTTAGTTGGTTGAGTTGGTTGAGTAGTTGGTCTGTTTAGTTTCGAGTTTTATTCTAGCGTCGCTAGCGGGATTCTAGGCAGTCTTCTGACCTGTCCTCCCACTTTATTTTCATGTTGGGAGCTTTGTATCTTTATTCGCATATTTGTGCGCCTTTGATTTATAATAGTGCCTCTATCGTTTCGGGAAAAAAAAAAAAAACTGTCAAGGGTAAAGTGGGGCTAGTGTAACCGATGTGTCCCGCCGACTCATGATTGGCCAACATATGTGACTTTTGATAAACTTCTAATTTAGGTTTACTTATTAAGTATAACATATGCACCTATATATAATCTTCAAATGTACTAAGTTTAATTGTCAACTTTGTATTCTTTAGAATCTTGTGTTGCAGCATTTCATTTGTCGGAATTAGAATCGAACATAAATTATATTTTAATAAAATTAATATTGGGTAAATTTCCTAGCATTAAAATTCTTAATTACGACAGAGTTTTTATGTTGCGCTATGCTTCCAAAATATTTATATTGCACTTAAAATAATCTCTTATCTTGTCATCGAAAATCTCATTTTTTGTTTACGCAAGCACTAATATAACTTTCAGAGCTCTCCAATGATAATTCTTACTCATACATTGCCTGCAGTCGGGAGTCCTTTGGTTTATTGGAGGAGATTTTAATGATCTCCTCTCAAATCAAAAGAAAAGAGGTGGGTTGGTTGGGGATGAGTTTTCTTTTACTAATTTTAGGAATTTTGTGGAAGGTCTTAGTTGTGTTGTGCCTTGATGGGCAGGGCACTCATATACCTTGTCCAACCATAGACAAGGCTCTTCTTTTATACAAGAGAAGCTGGATATGTTCTTCCATTCTCCTCTCTGGTATGCCAAGTCGCCAAATGCCCTAGTTAAGCAGGTTTCTCTTTTTGCTTATGATCACAGTATGTTGTAACTGGAGAGGAATTCTATGGCTAATATGGGTAATTAAAGGTTTTACTTTGATTTCAGGTGGCCTAAATTAGATGGTTTTGAGGAAGTGGTGATTTCTGCTTGGAATATCAATGTGATTGGCTCTGCTCTCTTCAGCTTGCAACAAAGAATAAGGAATGTAAGAATGGCTCTAATCACTACAAGAATAATCATTTTAAGTGGCGGTAATATTTGTCTCTATATGGTCAAATGTCATCACAACGGTAATGTTTATCGTTATATGGTCAAATGTCATCACAATATTGTGACAACATTAGACCATATAAAGACAAATATTACCGCCACTTAAAATGATTATTCTTGTGGTGAATTAAGTGGAATGCAGGAAACCAAAACAACCCAACAAAGAAAATTCAGGAGTGCAAATCTAAACTCTCTAATCTAAACCAACATGGGGTTAGAAGTATTGGGAAGCTTGGAATAGAAAAAATCACCTGTTGAATATTGCTTATAAAGAGGTAGAAGTGTTTTAGCCGAACAAGTCTAGACTCTCTGGCTGAAAGAAGAAGAAAGTATGCTAAGTTCTTCCAAACAAGTGTTAATCAAAGAAGGAAAATAAATAGCTTGGAAAACTTAGTAAATTCTAAGGGAATCTGATGTCAGAACAACAAGAAAACTCTAGATGAAGTGCAACTTTACTTTGAAAGACTTTTCAAAACTTCATAACCAAATGTTGACATATGCAGTGTTCAAGGACTCCCAACCACAATCTCAACTAAAATGCACTCCCAGTTGACAAAACCAGTGGAGGAGAATGAGATTAAAGTTGCCCTCATGGATGTGGACCCTAATTAGTCTCCTAGTGCCGATGGTATGTCTCATTCTTTCTTTCAAAGTTCTTGTCTAATGTAAAATATCATTTGCGTTTGGTTGTGATACACTTTTTCAATCTAGTGAAATGCCCAGAGCAGTTAATCATACAATCATTACACTCATTCCTAAAAAGAAATTTGCTTTTTAGGCCTATAAGCCTATGCACTGTCACTTATGAAATTATTGAAAAAAATCCTTGCCAACAAATTGAAAACTTCTCTTCGCTCTTGTATTTCCCCTCTCAATCTACAGTCATTCCAGGCAGACAAATCCTTCATAATGTTGTTATTGCAAATGAATGCATTCATCTCATAAACAGTAAAAGAAAGGGCAAGGAAAAGTTCATGGCAGTTAAACTAGACATGGTTAAGGCCAATGATAT